TCTGAATATGTTTTGGGAAAATGCCCATACATACATATATCTTAGGGACAAAATATCAACAGCATTATAAAAAAAGAGAGATATGTTAAAAAACATCCAGATAACACCATTTTCTGTGGGTAGCAGGAAATGTGAATAGGAAATAAATTCTTTTCTTTATAATATTTTATGGACAATATAATTTTTGAATATTATCTGATATTATAATCACTTAGCTCTTTGGCCAGAATAATTAGATCTAGTTTTGAAACTACTAATAATAGAAAAAACAAAAGAATCTGTAGCTGGTTTCAGAGTGTCATTTTGTCACTGTGTACTTTCTATTTAATTCTAAAGAAAGTAAGGTCATAAAAAGAAAATGACTTAAAATACTCCTAATTAATAGTTTTTATTTATTTCAATAGCTTTGAAGTTAAAAACACCTTTCATACATCCCCTCTTCATATTTCTATAATAACTGTATTCCTAAATAGTCTGAAGGAGAGATTTAAATATTTACCAAAACTGACATAATAAAAATTTTAAAACCACAGGACAAAATGACAAGATTCAGAGTTCTTAATTAGCTAATAAAACTGTTCACATTCCTCTTCACAATCCACCTACATCTCTTGTGTGTGTGAGAGTGTGTGTGTGTGTGTGTGTGTGTGTGTGTGTGTGTGTGAATACCTGTTTAAATAAAAAAATAGCTTTGACATTTGTAGGTAATGGATGACAATTAGACATTAAAATTCAATGAATACATAAAACTAAAGCAAAGAAATCTGGAACATATAATAAAAACATAATACCCTAGCATTCAACTTCTGTCCACGCCTTCTTTGCTTAGCCTTGATGTAGTGGGAGTCTGCAGAATTCTGTCAGCAGTTTTCATCTATTGCAGCTTTCACTCCTCTCTGTTGGTGTTTACATACACTCCCCAGCCTCCTCCACATGTCATTGATGCACAAATCTTCTTCTCCAAGACTAAATCATGACTTGAGCTCCAACTGTTCCTTCTAAAAACCTATTGAAAATCACTCTATAAAACATCTCAAAGATACCTTATAGTCAATATATCAAAAAGCATTCTTATCAGCTCTCTCCTTCCCCAGCAGTGACCTTTCCTTTTTGTGTCATAGTTTTTTATGAATGGTATCATTATGTAATCATTCAGAAAATCTAAAGAGCAGACAGTTTCACTGAATGGTAGCTCTCTTTTATCTTCATAAGCAATTCTTCTTTAGTATTTGCAAAAGCAGTAATTCTATATGCACATTTCATTCATTAATTCATAGGAACATATGTCGTTTGCACATAAATTTCAGGTATGATTCTAGGTGCTCACATTACAGCATTATGAGCTTATATTTTAGTGGGAACAGAGAGAAGATAAACTGATAAATAATCAATTTAATTAAAATCTATACTATATATGAAGATTCCTTTTAATAGTATATTCTTAAGTCTTTTATAAAATGTAGCATGAAGAAGATTACCACTATACTTTCTTCAAAGGTGACGGCATTGTGAGAGCAAAAATACTTTTTTAGGGATCAGGAAGATGTCCCTGAAGAAATGATGTAGAGCCAGAATGATAAGAAAGATTTAAAGCAATTTTTAATGAACATAAGTTAAATTGTTTAAGAGTGGAGGAATAAGCAATTCACTTATCCTTCTGTTAACTCAATTTCCTTATCTTTCAAATGGTTTTATAACAACTGTGTGACTGTGAGAATCAAAGATATTAATGCCCATTAAGTGTATCAAAAATATGTGGCATGTGTATTAATTCATTATATTTAATTTATTACCAATATTGTTATTTTATTATACAATATGTAAAAAGCACTATGCACAGTATTACAAAAAATAAAAAAACTTGTACAGGAGCTATACTTGTGTGTGTTGTGTGCATAATTTCAGTGGTTATCTTTCTCTAAGATGAAAAGATTTACGTATTCTTGCTTTCTTTAATGCTTCTTTGAGTATGTCACAAAGGAATTTTAATTAGACAATCAGAACACTCTAGTCTTCATAGTCAGAAGCATGATAGTCTAAAAGCAAGACAAGCACAGATAATTCCCTAGAAATAATTTTTTAAATTACTAAAATGGTGTTTCTAAGGTTTCATATTAAATCATATGGGCCAAAACGTTTGTGTATGTGTGTGTTTTTGTGTGTGTGTGCATGTGTATTCAATCCTGTATCATCTGTTCTGCTATTGAAATAAGAGCCTAGCTTAAGGTTCTTTTTTAAAAAAATAATGGTTATGTTTCTAGCCTGTCCATCCATTGGTCTCCCTGTCCATTGTATTAAAGGCCTGGAAGAATTTATTTATAGCCATAATCTTTTCTTTGGATAATAGCTAAACCTAATAGTGTATCATTGGTACAACCCTGGCAGTCTATCTTTCTGATTCCTCAGGGTAGCTATCCCCTGTACCTCATCACTCCATTGGACCTCTAAACAGACATCATCCTTAAAATCCCATTTGTACCATTTGGATCAGGTCAGGAAGAGTAATAGCTCTAATCTTCCTGGAGTGATATTATTAATCTTGAGCAGGTGAGCTCCAAGGTACTTTCTCTAACCTATACATTTAGAAAGCAGAAGCTTTAGGGCTGTAATGAATAAAGCTAAAATGTAAGCCTGAAGCATAAGGGGAAATGATTGTAAGATCAAGCTGTCCTTTAGGTTTGCGCTTAAACCTTGTTTACTCTGTTAAATCAAGAGCTTTAAGAAAACTAAAAAGAGGTAATGAATGGGCTTTCCATCTTAAGATAATCAGAATATTATTCTATTATTAGCATTATTTATTTTTTTCTCTAACAGAGTCTGTGTAAAAATCACAGCTAAATAAAATTTAGTCTAATATTCTAAGTAAATTTCAATGGCTTTCTGGAGCATTTGTTGTTAATTTGTTCATAAAACTGTATCTATAATTGACAAAAACTAACTCATTTACAGATCACAATTAAAAGCGAAATTCCTTATTTTTTCTCTTCTCCATTTTGTTCATAAATCACCTGCTTGATGATCTAAATCAATTTCTCCTGCATAGAATAGAAAGAGATGTGTCACCCTTCCATTATACATACTCATGTAGGATTTAATTCAAGTTTTAATTTTTGCTAAATCCTGTATTCACCTTCACTAGAAAATCTTTATTTTTAACCACCTTTCAGTGAGTCATAAGAGGATAGGAGTTTGGAGCAAATACAGATATACAAATGTTTCAAAGTTTCAAAGTACTTCTTTTGACTACATGTATAAATATTTAAAAGCAATACATTTTTTTAACCTAGGTGGTATTTTTTCTAATTAGTAAAATGCACAGGATTATTTTGCTTATAGACGGAAATGCATTAGTACATCTCCTGATTCACTAATTCTACTATCAGATTTTTATAAGTTAGACGTTATGATGGTTATGCACATTTTGTAAATTGTAAAAAAACTTTAAAACTTAGGCTCTTTATTTTGTTTTGCTTGAGTATAGATGGATTGACTTTTAAAACGCCAAATAATTCAATATGTTTCACACAATATTTGTTGTAATGATCATGATCTACTGCATACGTTTGCTTCTCTATAGCTTAGTTTATTTGTAAAATGAAGATCATAACATGTATGCATTTTAAGAAACACATGTTGCAACACATTAAATTGAAGATATTACGCTAAGTGCTTTGCATGAATCTTTTTATCAACCCTATAGGCATTGTTTTACATATAAGGAAACTGAGGCACAGAGAAGTTAAGTAACTTTCCAAGCTTATAAAGCTATCAAGTAGTAAACGTTCAAATCCAGAAAGTATAACTTCAAGTCCCAAGTGTTTGAAGCTATGACATTTTGCTGCTTTTTCTCTACCAAATAAAGATTTTAAAAATAAATGATTTCATCGAACAGTGCTCAGAATATTGAAACTGCCTATATAAGTGTGAGCTACTATAATTCTTGTCATAATTATTGTGATGTTTTTATTTAACCAACAGTTTGCTCAGACCTACTCTGTGTCACACATTATGCTAGTATTATTGCAATGTTTGGTATTATTACTAGGTCCAATTTGCAGAAGGGAAAATGAAAGCTCTGAGAATTTAAATTGGTCAAATGCAAACAGCAGGAGGCAGGCTTAGAATGAAACTTTTAAATTACAATAATGCAGGTTTAAAAGTTCAAAACTAGATTTGTCTAATAATTTTATAATATCAATGACCTTGAAATAAAGCTAGGTACTTTTAACCATTTCAGAAGACTAGAATATAATTTTAAAATCTTCAAAGCAGAGAAGTGGTATAATTAAAGCAAAGAAGGTCCATGAATAACAGATTAAAAATACACATTTTGGCCGGGCGCGGTGGCTCAAGCCTGTAATCCCAGCACTTTGGGAGGCCGAGGCGGGTGGATCACGAGGTCAAGAGATCGAGACCATCCTGGTCAACATGGTGAAACCCCGTCTCTACTAAAAATACAAAAAAAAAAAAAATTAGCTGGGCATGGTGGCGCGTGCCTGTAATCCCAGCGACTCAGGAGGCTGGGGCAGGAGAATTGCCTGAACCCGGGAGGCGGAGGTTGCGGTGAGCCGAGATCGCGCCATTGCACTCCAGCCTGGGTAACAAGAGCGAAACTCCGTCTCAAAAAAAAAAAAAAAAAATATACACATTTTATCCCAAATATATTAAGACATAGATATTATTTTGAAAAAGAAACTGGTTAGAATTATAATCACAAAGATAAAATATTTAATTTGTGGAAAATGTCATGTGTGTTATAGCAAAGGAAACCTAAAATAGTTTAGGGGAAGGCAGAAACATGAAGGATAAAACACGACAATCATTTCCCTCTGGCACACCTTCTTATGAGAAGAGAACAAGTGGCTTCAATAAGTACTGTTGACCCTAGAAAAACACAGGCTCAAAGCTTGCAGGTCTGCTGATATATGGATTTTCTTCCACCACTGCCAGCCTTGCAACAGCAAGAGCAGCCTCTCCTCTTCCTTTATTTCTTAATCCAATTAACCTGAAGAAAATGAGGATGAAGACCTTTATGATGATCAACTTCCATTTAATGAAGAGTAAATATAACTTCTCTTCCTTATGAGTTTCTTTTTCTAAAATTAGTAAATTACATTTGACTAAATAAATTTGAGTGCATACTTGTTTTATACTTCTCCATCGCCTATTTTATTTCAAATTTTAATTTAATTTCAATTTTTATTTCAGATAGAGAGGGTACATATGCAGGTTTGGTATATTGCATCTAAGTAGTAAGTATAGTACCTAATAGGTAGTTTTTCAACCCAGGCCCCACTTCCTTTCTCCCTGCTCTAGTGGTCAGCAGTGTCTGACCATGTTTATGCCCATGTGTGATCAATGTTTAGCAACAACTTTTTTTTTAAGTTTGAGGGTACATGTCCAGGTTTTTAAAAAATTTAATTTAAGTTCTGGGATACATGTGCAGAATGTACAGGTTTGTTACATAGGCAAACATGTGCCATGGTGGTTTGCTATACCTATCAACTCGTCATAATATGTTAAGCCCTGCATGGATTAGCAACAATGTATAAGTGAGACCATGTGGTATTTTATTTTTTGGTTCTAAATTTGTTCACTTAGGATTGTGGTCTCCAATTCCATCCATGTTGCTATAAAGGCCATGATTTCACTCATTTTTATGGCTGTGTAGTATTCCATGCTGTACATGTACCACATCTTCTTTATTCAGTCCACTGTTGATGGGCACCTGAGAGATTCCATTTCTTTGTTATTATTAATAGTGCTGCAATGAACGGATGAGTCCATCAGTCTTTTCGTATAATAATCTATTTTCCTTTGAGTATATACCCAGTATTGGGGTTTCTGGCTCAAATCATATTTTAAGTTTTTTGAGAAATCTTGAAACTGCTTATTACAGTGTCTAAACTAATGAACTTTTCCACCGAGAGTGGGAATGTAAGCACTTTCTTTTCTCTGTAGCTTCACCAGAATCTTTTTTTTTTTTTTTTGAATTTTTAATAATGGCCATTCTGAATGGTATGAGATGGTTTCTCACTGTTTTTTTTATTTGCATTTCTCTAATAATTAAATGATGGTGAGCATGGTTTTATACATATGTTGGCCTGTGTATCTTCATTTGAGAAGTCTCTGTTCATTTCCTGTGCCCAGTTTTTAATGTGGTTATTTATTTTTTGTTTAATTTATTAAGTTCTTTGAAGATTCTGTATATTAGATCTTTGTTGTATGCATAGTTTGTGAATATTTGCTCCCATTCTGTAGGTTTTCTATTTTTTTCTATTGTTAGTTTATTTTGCTTTATAGAAGCTATTTAGTTTAATTAGGTCCCACTTGTCAAGTTTTGTTTGTGTTCAAATTGCTCTTGGGGACTCAATAAATAATTATTTGCCAAGGTCAATGTTAAAAATGCTGTTCCCTTGTTTTTCTTCTAGAATTTCTTTAGTTTGAAGTCTCATATTTAAATATTTTTATGTTTTAAATTAGTATATGGTGAAAGGTAAGTGTGTAGTTTTATTCGTCTGCATATGGCTAGCCAGTTATCTCAGCACCATTTGTTGAATAGGGAGTCCTTTCCCCATTGCTTGTTTTTTTGGCCTTGTCAAAGGTCAGGTGGTTGTAGGTGTGTGCCTTTATTTCTGAGGTTTCTATTCTGTTCCATTGGTCTATGTGTCTGTTTTTGTACCAGTACCATGATGTTTTGCTTACTATAGCCTTATAACATAGTTTGATTTGGGGCAATGTGATAACTCTGGCTTTATCCTTTTTGCTTATTGTTGCTTTGGCTATTAGATATCTTTTTTGGTTCTATATGAATTTTAGAATAGTTTTTTTCTACTTTTGTGAAAAATGACATTGGCATTTTTATAGGAATAGCATTGTTATCTGTAAATTGCTTTTGGAAGTCTGGTCATTTTAACAATATTGATTCTTCCAATCTATGAGCATGGAATGTTTTCCCGTTTACTTTTGCCATCTCTGATTTCTTTCAGTAGTGCTTTGTAGCCTTGAATCAAATGGATTCATTGTTGAATTCTGCCAGATATACAAACAAGAAATGGTACCGATCCTACCGAAACTATTCTAAAACACTGAGGAGGAGAGGCTCCTTTCTAACTCATTGTATGAGGCCAGCATCACTGTAATACTAAAATTTGGCAGAGATACATTAAAAAAAAAGGAAACCAAGCCAATATTTCTGATGAACATAGACAAAAGTCGTCAACAAAATACTAGCTGGACTGAATCCAGCTGCACATCAAAAAGTTAACACAGTAAAATCAAACTTCATTCCTGGGATGCAAGCCTGGCTCAACATGCAAAATAAATGTGATTTGCCACAATCAGAGAATTAACAGAAAAAAAAAAAAAAACGAAAAGAAGAAAAGAGATCATATCAGTTGATGCAGAAAAATCTTTTGATAAAATTGAACATCACTTAATGATAAAAAGCTGTCAGCAGACTAGGCATTGAAAGAACATACCTCAAATAATAAGAGCTATCTGTTACAAAACCCACAGCCAACATTATATTGAATGGGCAAAAGCTAGAGCCATTCTTCTTCAGAACTGGAACAAGACAAGGATGCCCACTCTCACCAGTCCTATTCAACATGGTACTGAAGGTCTTAGGCAGAACAATGAGTCAAGATAAACAAAGAAAAGGCATTCAATTAGGAAAAGAAGCCAAACTATTTCTCTTCACTGATGATATGATTATATTACTTAGATAATCCTGAAGACTCCACCAAAAAACTAAATACTTAGAAATACAGCTAATCAAGGAGGTGAAAGGACTTTATGATATTCTTAATAGCATTTTATTTATCTAGACTACTTTATTGTAAGAACACAGTGTATAAAACAAATAAAATATAATACATGTGGGCCAGGCAGTGTGGCTTACACTTGTGATCCCAGGACTTTGGAAGACTGAGGCAGGAGGATCACTTGAGATCACAACTTCGAGATCAGCCTAGCCAACATGGTGAAATCCAGTCTTTATTAAAAATACAAAAATTAGCCAGGCATTGTGTCTATAATCCCAGCTACCTGGGAGGTGGAGGTTTCAGTGAGCCAAGATGGCAACATTGGACTCCAGTCTGGGTAACAGAACAAGATTCCGTCTCAAATATAACATATAACATTCACATATAACATATGTGTTAATTGACAGTTTATGTTATCAGTAAGTCATCGGATCAACTATAGGCTATTGATTGTTTGGTCTTTGACAAGCCAAAAATTATATATAGATTTTCAAATGCACAGGGGTCAGTGCTGCTAACCCCATGTTGTTCAAGGGTGAACTTATATTTATTATTTTTACAACTCGCAGAATTCAAATAAAAATGAAGGTGGTTTGGAGTGCTTAGACAAAGTTTCTATGTCCCTGTTTAAAAAAGCGTATCTTCTGAGCTTAACCTGTTTGTATTTATTGTGTTACATTTGGATTTATTTCTACCAAGTAACATTATGTCTCATAATTGGTTATATTTTATTTCTTGTTATATATCATCCTTTGGATTTACTGTAGTTTCTTTTCTTTTTTTTTTATTGCATTTTAGGTTTTGGGGTATATGTGAAGAACCTGTAACATTGTTGCACAGGTACACACATGGCAGTGTGTTTTGCTGCCTTCCTCCCCATCACCTATATCTGGCATTTCTCCCCATGTTATTCCCCCCAACTCCCCACCCCCTGCTGTCCCTCCGCTAGTTTCCTCCCCCCAGAACCCAGTGTGTGATGTTCCCCTCCATGTGTCCATGTGTTCTCATTGTTCAACACCCACCTATGAGTGAGAATATGTGGTGTTTGATTTCCTGTTCTTGTGTCAGTTTGCTGAGAATGATGGTTTCCAGGTTCATCCATGTCCCTACAAAGGACATGAACTCATTGTTTTTGGCTGCAGAGCATTCCATGGTGTATATGTGCCACATTTTCCCTGTCCAGTCTATCATCAATGGGCATTTGGGTTGGTTCCAAGTCTTTGCTATTATAAACAGTGCTGCATGTGTCCTTATAATAGAACGATTTATAATCCTTTGGATATATACCCAGTAATGGGATTGCTGGGTAAAATGGAATTTCTATTGCTAGGTCCTTGAGGAATCGCCACACTGTCTTCCACAATGGTTGAACTAATTTACATTCCCACCAACAGTGTAAAAGTGTTCCTATTTCTCCACATCCTCTCCAGCATCTGTTGTCTCCAGATTTTTTAATGATTGCCATTCTAACTGGCGTGAGATGGTATCTCAATGTAGTTTTGATTTGCATTTCTCTAATGACCAGTAATCATGAGCATTTTTTCATATGTTTCTTGGCCTCGTATATGTCTTCTTTTGTAAAGTGTCTGTTCATATCCTTCGCCCACTTTTGAATGGGCTTTTTTTTTTCTTGTAAATCTATTTTAGTTCTTCATAGATCCTGGATATTAGCCCTTTGTCAGATGAGTAGATTGCAAAAATGTTTTCCCATTCTGTTGGTTGCCAATTCATTCTAATGACTGTTTCTTTTGCTGTGCAGAAGCTGTGGTTTATTTTCAAATAATGTTCTCCCTACTGGTTTTAAAATTACACACTTTATGATATTCTTTAAAAATTTCTCTTGGGCTTCTATAATGCATATTTTATGTAATTAGGCTTAAAGTTCAGAAATACTTCTAACTTTATTTCTGAAAACATTTCAAAACATTTCTACCCCATTCACCTACCCCTAGCTTGAATGTTCCTGTTGTTCACTATTTTTAATCTGTTTAATAACATCATGTGCTGCAACATATGTGTTTTATTGAATAATGATATAGAAAGAGAAAAATGCACAAATCTTAATGTTTTTAGCATTGTGGACAATGCAAAGCAAGCATATTTATATAAGCAGTATACAGAAGCCCCACTATGAGGTCTATATCCTGCATTTTATTTTGAACTTGACACATCATTATTATTTTATAAGTTGATAAAGATTGTCTAGACTCTAGTCATTTCCTGTTTAAGTATTTTCCTTCTCCAGTTACTAGGAACTATCTGTGGAAATTTTAATCAGAGAAATATGCTAACTTTCCCATTATTTTTTTTTCTGCTTCTTATATCTTTCTTTTTTTTTTCTTTACAAATTCTACTCTTACAGCATTTATACTGTTACACTGTTAAAAACTTTTAAAGAAAGTAAATTCATTACTACCATAAAATTATAAAATGATTATATCAAAGATTTTATTTAAGGTGTTAACTCAGTAAGGTATTAAAAACTAGTTCATAGGAGAATTTAACACATATTCAAAGAAAATTAAAAAGTGCTTAGAAGAATTTACTAATTGACACACAACTGGCCAATATACACAGGGCAATAATAAATTTTACCCCCAAACCTATTTGCATTTCTATGAAGTAACTTTCATTTCTAATAGTTAACACTAATTTACAGTTATACAAAAGCTTAAAGGTGATGAAAGAGGCTAATTATCTGGAAAGTGTGCTAGACAGGACACCCAGTGATCATTTTTACTCATTTCAACGACTTTTAAATTTATCCTGACATTATGTCGTAAGCAGAAAATGTTTAAAAAGAAATGTCAAATGAAAGAAAAAGAGGAAGGAGGAGGAGGAAAGGAGGAGAAGAAATAGTAAGACAATGGTTGCCAATTAAGTCTGCAATAATAAATGCAAATGCATTAGTTAGGTTCACAAATACCCCAAAAATACCCAAACAACAGCACACAAAATGAGAGTTTAAAGGTAGATTGTTATATAAGATTTTAAAAATCCAGCTGTATGCAGTTTACAAGAAAAATACCTAAATCTAAAGAACTCAAACAAAATGAAGGATGAAGTTTGAAGACTAAACTATAATAAACCATGAAAACCCTAACAAAAAAAATTAGACAGTTAAATTGATTCCTGAAAAAACAGACTATAAATGTAATAAGTAGTTTAAATAGAGAGATAAAGAATAAAAAATGTTTAACCAGGATTGAATAACAATTTAAAAGTTTCTGGTAAAACACTTTTGACCTACATGAAGTAGAAATTATTGGGGTTAGGGCCAAGATGGCTGACTAGAAGCAGCTAGTGTGCACTGCTGTCATGGAGAGGAGACAGTGGTGAGTAAACCGTAGTTCCTTAACTGGAACATCCTGTTAAGGAGCCAATAAAGAAGAACAAGACAGGACCCACCCATCTGGGGTTAGCATGGAACCACAGTAGGCTCCCCTCCACAGGGCAATGCTGACTGTGTGAGAGCCCCCAGGAACCCACACTTGTACCATGAACCTTTCCAATCTTGGGCTCAAGAGATTCCTCATGACACCTCCCCTCTGGGGCCTCCAGACTGACACAGAGAGCTGTGTGGCTTCTGAGTAGAGCCTCCACTCAGGCACATGTGGATTTCCAGGGGCCTTGGACCACTGGGCATCCTGGCACCAGTGGCTACAGCTCCAACAATAGTAAAGACCGGGCCCCCTCCCCTCTCCTCAGAATAGGGGCTGGATCCATGAGACTAAGGAGTGGACAGACTGTAGGCCTCACCTCCACTGCATGTCACTAAACAGGGCCCACCAACCTAGGACCATGATGGCCGCCCCAGCCCAACCTGAGCTCTTGAGCTGGGAGCAGCCCTGCATTTCCCTGAGGTGGAGCTCCAGAAAGGACCAGGAGGCCTCCCAGTTTTCCTATTCTGCAGTCCCTGTACCTGTCACCCTCAGGCTTGGGAGGGAGTGAAATTATTAAAGACTAGTGTGGGCCCACAGCACAAAACAGTTGTCTTACAAAAAAAATGGACTGTTTTCCACAAGTTTCCCTGCCACCACTACTCCTCAATGGGCAGGACCTCCCAACCTGTAACCTGAGCCACCCCAGTCCCATCTGGGATCTCTAGCCAGTAGCAGCTCTGTACTTGCCTGAGATAGAGCTCCCAGTGGTCGCAGGAAGGTCCACCATATTTATTGCTCCATAGCTCCAATCCCTACTACCCTCAGCCTTGAGAGGGAACACAGTGATTAAGGACTACGGTGGACCCCAGCACAGAACAGCCACCTTATGGAAAAGTGGCTAAATAGTTTTCCACATGTGTCCCTGCAATTGTTACTCCTCATGGGGCAAGGCCTCTAAATCTGGGCCTCCAGTGTAGCTACCCTGACACTGCCTGAGCTCTTCAGTCAGTAGCAGCTTTTGTTTCTTTGGGGGGAACATCCCAGAGACAGCCCACAGCCCTTTCCCCCCTTGCAGGTACAATGGTACCTGCCCTTACTGCCCTTGGGTGGAGGAAAAAACAAAGGGCTTGGACATGTCACTGGCACCTTCAGCATACCCACAGCCTTCACACACAGAGGAGCCCAGTCTATCTTTCCTATGAGCCCCGATCCCTACTCCACACCAGGCAGCACCCTTGGGTTCACAGAGCAAGGTGATGCCCTACTCCTGACTGAGCATTCCCACTGGGAGCGGCTCTGTGTTTCCCTGGGGGTAGAATTTCCAGACACTACTGACGGTGCCTCTGTCAATGCCACTGCAGCAGTTCTGCCCTTGCTGCTTTCAGACTGGAGAAGGAACAAAGAGCCTAAAGGCTTTACTCAGGCCTTCTGCATGCCACACTTACCGTACAAAGAAAGGCCCAGTCTCTCTTCTCTGTGAGCCTCCAACCCCCTGTCCTTCACCAAGTAGGACCCCCGGGTTGGGCCACAGCACAGCCCCCTCAACCTCTGGCTGAACATTCCTACTGGCAGTGGCTCTGCATTTCTTTGGGGTGGAGCTCCCAGAAGCAACTGAAAGCCCTTCTGCTACTACCATTGCAATGGTACTTCCTTTGCTTCATTTAGACTGGGGAAGGAACAAAGACCCTGCACGCTGTACTCACACCTGCAGCATGTCACAGCTACTTAAGGAGAAGAGGCCAGTCTGTCTTCCCCATGAGCCCCTCGCCACTCAGCTCATTACCAGGCAGGGACCCTGGCTTGGGATCACAACATAGCTGTCTCACACCATCTCTGCATTTCCCTGAGGCACAGCCCAAAGCGATAAGTAGAAGGCCTTCTGCCACTGCCACTGTCAAGTTCCCTGAACATGCTGCCCCAGGCTGGGGAGGAAACATAAATCCTAAGTTCTTCCTAGGGCTGCAGTGTGCAGCCCAGGAGTGCCAAGCCAAGATCTGCAGCCAGCACTCAGGTGGTCAAGGAGCCCACATCATCAGGGTACTGAGGAGCAAGTCTGCAAATGCAAGAAAATATACAGAAGCCACATGGTTGAGCACGAGGCTACCTACTAGCCAAACTGGAACCAGACAACAATACACACTATCACCACTTTTATTCAACACAGTATTGGAAGTTTCAGAAAAAACAATCCAGCATGAGGAAGAAATAAAAGGCATCCAAACATAAAAAGAGGAAGTCAAACTATCTCAGTTTACATATGGTTTGATTCTATACCTAGAAAACCCTGTAGTTTCTGCCAAGTGTTAAATCAGGAATGTAGTCCCATTCACAATAGCCAGAAAAGATAAAATACCTGGGAAGAAAGTTAATCAAGGTGGTGAAAGAACTCTGCAATGAGAATTGCAAAAACATTGCTGAAAGAAATCAAAGATGACACAAACAAATGAAAAACCATTCCATGCAGGTGAAAAGGAAAAGTCAATATTGTCAAAATGTCCATAGTGCCCAAAACAATTTATAGATTCAATGCTATTTCTATCAAATTACCAGTAACATTTTTTAAAATTAAGAAAATTTTATTTTTAAATTCATATGTAATAATAAAAGACCCTAAATAGCCAAAGCAGTCCTAAGCAAAATGAACAAAGCTGGAATTATCACATTACCCTGATACCAAACTATGCTACAAGGCTACGGTAACCAAAACAGCATGGTACTGGTACAAAAATAGACACAGAGACCAATGAAACAGAATAGAGCCCAGAAATAAATTGATGCACCTAAAACCATCTGATCTTCAACAAAGTTGACAAAAATAATCAATAGGAAAAGACTCCCCGATCAGTAAATGGTGCTGGGATATCTGGCTAGCCAAATGCATAATGTTGAAACTTTCCTTATACCATCAAAGATCAACTAAAGATGAATCAAAGACTTAAATTTAAAATGTAAAACTACAAAAACCCATGAAGAAAACCCTGGAAATACCATTTGAGAGAGGCCTTGGCAAAGATTTTATGACATAGATGCCAAAAGCAAATGCAACTGAAATAAAAATTGACAAACGGGACCTAATTACACTAAAGAGCTTCTGTTCAGTGAAGGAAAGAGTCAACAACATAAATAGACAACAGAATGGAAGAGTATATTTGTGAATTATGCATGTGACAAAGGTCTACTATCCAAAGTGTGTAAGAAACTTAAATTAACAATTAAAAATTAAACACCCCATAAAAAAGTGGGCAAAGGGTATAAAAAGACACTTTTCAAAAAGAAGACAATTTATGTGGTCAACAAGCATATGAAAAACTCTCAGGATCTCCAATCATTAGATAAGTGCAAATCGAAAATCATGAAAGATAACATCTCACACAAGTCAGAATGACTATTATTAAAAATTCAAAAAATAACATTTTTAATTTAAAAATTAAAAAATAACACATGTTGCAAGGCTGCAGAGAAGAGGCAGTGCCTGTACACTGCCGGCAGCAATGTAATTTTCATAGTTCAGCCACTAGGAAAAGCCGGTTGGTGATTTCTCAGAGAACTTAAAACAGAACTGCACTTCATTCCAGAAATCCCATTATTAGGTATAGACTTAAAGGAATATAAATCATTATGCCATAAAGACACATGCATGCTTATGTTCATTGTAGTACTATGCACAATAGTAAAGACATGGAATCAACCTAAATGTCCCTCAATGATAGACTGATTGATATGGTTTAGCTGTGTCCCCACTCAAATTTCAACTTGAATTGTATCTCCCAGAGTTCCCATGTGTTGTGGGAGGGACCCAGCAGGAGATAACTGAATCATGGGGGCCGGTTTGCCACTTTACATAGAACATGAGTAATTTTTAACTTTTTAACATTTACTAATTCTCTAAATTTGTTGCAATTAACAAAGTATTATAATCAGAAAAAAGAAAAGAGAAAATTAAAAACAATAGCAATAATGAAAGCCCCTATACCATTCTTGCTCACATCAAATTATAGAGCCTAAGGTCCCAAACCAAGAGTGATTCTTCAATCCTCCCTGTCCTTGAAACCCCATACCTAACCAAATACTAAATTACATAGTTACTATCTTAAGATAAAACTTCATCTCTAAAAAAACAACTCTTTCCTTCTTCACCTCCATTGTAGTTTAACTTGCCTTTCTTTGAAGGCTACATCCTCCTTGGACTCCCTCTTTTGATTTTATTCACATTCTAATCTTTTTTCTACAAAGCAGCAAGAATTACCTTAAAAATAGATAGAATAATGGCACTCTTTTGCTTAAAATTCTTCAATTGCTTCTTTAAAAATCAAAGCTTTTTTGTGATAACGTAGAAGGTCCTTGTGATCCGACTTTAGCCTACCTTTCCAACCACTTCACACTTTATTATAATCCTCCCCTCCTTACTGCTAATTGGTCCTGACAGCCTTCTTCTTTTCCTTCTTTTTAAAAAGGCTTCACTATTTTTTTAACAGCAGTTTTAGGTTCACAGCAAAATTGATAGGAAAGTACAGCGATTTCACATATGTCTTCTGCACCTGACTTATGTGAAGATATCCTCATTTTCAGCAACATCCACCAAAGTGGTACCTTTGGGAAAATTGATAAACCTACATTGATATACCATTATCACCTCAACTCTCTAGTTTACATTAGGCTACCGTCCTAGTGCTATACATTCTATAGGTTTAAACAAATATATAATGAAATGTATTCATCATTATGGTATCATGCAGAGTAGTTTCACTGCCCTAAAAATCTCCATTCTGCCTGTTCTTTCCGCCTTCCCCTCTAAACCCTGACAACTTGTCATTTTAATGTCTTCATAATTTTAACTTTCCAGAATATCATATAACTGAAATAATACAGCATTTAGCCCTTTCACATTGGCTCCTTTCACATAGTAACATGCATTTAAGTTTCTGTGATGTCTTCTTATGGTGTGATGGCTCACTTGTGAATAATATTTATGATTCCAAATAATATTTCTTTGTCTGGATGTATCCCAATTAAATGATTCACCTACTGAGGAACATATTGGTTGCTTCCAAGATTCAAATTGTGAATAAAGTTGCTACAAAGATCGATGTGCAAATTTTTGTGTGGACATTAATTATCAAGTTCCTTTGGATAAATACGAAAGAGCATGATTGGTGGTTTGTATGGTAGGAGCATGTTTACTCTCAAAAGATCTGAACAAACTGTCTTTCACAGTGGCTGTATCATTTTGCATTTCCATCAGCAAGGTATAAGAATTTCTATTGCTCCAAATCCTCATCAGCATTTGGTGTTGTCACTGTTCTGAATTTTAGTTATTTTTTAACATAAGTAGTACTATATCATTGTTGTTTTAATTTGCATTTCCCTAATGACATATGATGTATAGCATCTTCTCGTTATACTTATCTACTATCTGATGTCTTCTTTGATGAGGTATCTGTTAAGGTCTTTCACCCAGTTTTAAATCAGCTGGTTTGCTTTCCTCTAGTTGAGTTTTAACAGTTCTATATATATATTGGATAACAGTCCTGTAAAATATATATTTTTGCAAATACATTCTTCCAATGTGTGGCTTGCCTTTTCATTCTTTTGACTGTGTCTTTTACAGAACAGAACATTTTGATTTTAATAAAGTCCAGCTTATAAATTATTTCTTTCGTGTATCACATCTCTGGTGTTGCATCTAAAGAGTCACTACCAACCCACAAGTTATCTAAATGTTCTTCAATGTTTTCTTCTAGCCTGAAAGCCTTTTTTAGTATTTTTAATATGTTACCTTTTCCACTTTAATGCTGTCTTATTCAGCATTGGTTGCTGATATGGTTTGGCTCTGTGTCCCCACCCAAATTTCACCTCTAATTGTAATCCCCATAATCTTCACGTGTCAAGGACAGGACAAGATGTAGGTAATCGCTTGATGGAGGAGGTTTCCACAGGTTGTTCTCATGATAGTAACTGAGTTCTCACGAGATCTGATGATTTATAAGAATCTGGCATCTCTGCTTGCACTCACTCCATGCTGCCACCTTGTGAAGAAGGTGCCTGCTTCTTCTTTGTCTTCCACAGTGATTGTAAGTTTTCTGACACTTCCCCAGAAATGCAGAATTGTTAGTCAATTAAACCTCTTTCTGTATAAATTACCAGTCTTAGGTATTTCTTCATAGCAGTGTAAGAATGGACTCATATAGCTACTATAACAACATGCCGTAAACTGGGGAGCCAAAACTATAGGAATGTATTTCTTGCAGTTGTGGAGGCTGGGAAGTGCCAGATATAGCTTTCAGCAGATTTGATGTCTGTTGATGACCCACTCACTGCTTCATAGATGGCAACTTCTCTCTGGGTCCTCACATGGTAGAAGGGCAAGGAGTGCCCTCAGGCCTCTTTCATCACAGCACTAATCACATTCATGTGGGCACCATCTTTATGACCTGTTATGATTTGAATATTTGTGCCATCAAAACCTCAGGTTGAAATGTGATTCCCAGTGTGGGAGGTGAGATCTAGAGTGGGAAGTGTTTGGGTCATGAGGGCAGATTCTTCATGAATGGTTTGGTGCTCTCCTTGCAGTAATGATTTCAAATGACAACTGGTTATTTAAAAGAGCCTGATCTTTCCCTCTCGACTTCTCTCACACCATGTGACATGCCTGCTCCCCCTTCACCTTCCACTTTGATTGTAAGCTTTCTGAAACTCTCACCAGCAGATACCAACACTACGCTTCTTGTTTAGCCTGCAGAACCATGAGCTAAATAATCTTCTTCTTTATAAATAACCCAGTTTCTGGTATTCCTTTACAAAAGCAATGGAAAACAGACTAACAAGTGACATAATTACCTCCCAAAGGCTCTGCTTTTTAATACCATCACTTTGGAGATTAGGATTCCAACATATGAATTTGGAAAGGATGAAACATTGAGACCATAGCAAATGCCATATATTCTCTCTACTCAGAACATTCCACCTCATAACTGGCTCATTGGGGAAGTCATGAGAATTCATCTCTCAGTTTTCCAACCACAGGGAATATAATTGACAATGGCCTCAGCTGCTGTTCTCTGATATTCATCTCTGAGTTTGCACCAAAGCCCACACTTCGCATAGGCTTCTCCTAGCTCACAGATGGACATGTCAAGGATACTGAAGTGAGCTGTTCCTCTGGGGGCACAGTGATCCTCTGTGGCTGACTTTCATTCCAGGACTCTCCATGGCCCTACGCAATTTTTTTTAGGCTACAAGATATCACATTTTCACTTTCAACCTTCCTTTCTTTTCTCCTTTACTTGGATTATACTTTCAACACATTTTGATTGCTCTTACATCTTTATCTAGATTTGTCTTATTTTCCTTCACAAGCATTTCCCCCATGATTTAATGCCATCTGGGTAACTGCTTCTTGGGGAATCTAGTATGCATCCTCTCATACATGCTTCAACTTATCTTCAGACAAAACCTACCTAATATATACCTTTACTAGTTACTCTGTGTCCTATTACATTTTTGTTTCATTAATTTTTAAAAATAGCACTTTTAAAATTGTAATTTTAATGCATGCTCAT